TACTCAGTAGTGTCAATAAAGCAGATCTGATCTGTCGCTCTGCTCATTCCGTTCATTCCTCTGCCTCTTTTACTTTCCTCGCTGTGCCTATTTCTGTCTCGAGGACAGGAGAAGAGAATGCATGGGAAGGAAACAACGACAGAGAAATCAAGTGTACACGAGGCGTTCTCACTGACTGACGCATGACATGAAAGCAACATCGCACTGAAACAATCAGCAAGAAAATGATCTGTTTAAACGTTCTACTCCATCATCGTCGTCATCAACTCATCATCTCATCTAATCGCTCACATTCTGATCGCTCCGAAGATTCCTTTTCGAATACATTACCGTGTCGATAGTAAAAGCTCAGTATAAAACGTATACAGTGCTTGAAAGTTTGTGAACCTGCAACACTGCAAGGCTCTGGGTTACTGATCAGAAGGTCGGGGATTTGGGCCCCAGCACCGCCAAGCTGCCATTGTTCGGTCCTTGAGCAAGGCCCTTAACCCTCTCTGCTCCAGGGGGCGCTGTATCATGGCTGACCTTACACTCTGACCCCAACCTCCTAACATGCTGGGGTATGTGAGGAAAAGAGTTTCACTGTGCCATGATGTATCCGTGATCAATAAAGACTCATAATCATTAGCATAAATATGACCTAAAGCATCATTAGATTTTCACACAAGTCCTAAAAGTAGATGAAGAGAACTCAATTAAACAAATGAGACACTACTTGGTCATTTATTTATTGAGGAAAATGATCCAGTATAATCGTGGATATCTGTAAGGAAATTTTTATTTAATAATTTTCATGTGAAAGGAGTCTCCAGTGTCTGCACTTTGTAACATTCAGAGGTAAAGCGGTAACTTTAAGGTTTCCAACATCTTCAGGACAGAGAGGTTTACGCTTGGCAGTATCTCTGTAACATGGCAAGCTGTGATGTTTTTGTCTTATTATCTTCAAGAGAGAGACGAAAGAGAAGCTGGCGAGGGAACGACTGTTTAGAGCTGCTATAACAAGTATAACTTGCAGATGTTCTTCAATGCTAAATGTTTTGTAGGACTTTTGTAGGAAATCTGGATCCCTGCTCATTGAGATAACGTGGACTATCCAGATGTTGGTCGGGGCTGCCTCTGTGCTGATGGTGTGTATTTATTGGTGCATACAGCAGCTTCCTCAGACAATTCTTTATGTTTTACTGTTTCTGCTGTTTCAGTGCTGAATTGCAGAAATGATGTATAATGTCGCATAATGGGATTTTAACTCTAGTTAAATTGGTCTGCTTTAGAGAGTATAATCGTGTCTTGGGATTATATTGTATATATTTATCCATGTTTACAGTACGTGAATAATGACGATAAACATAAATAGATTGAAAATAAACTCTGGGACACCTCAATGGACATTCTCATTCAGGCATGGATTCACAGAGCTAAACTTTAATTATAAAGAATATATATAATTCCATGATGATCTGAAGGCTTCAGGTTCATCTGTTTCATAAAGTGCTTCATTTGATCTGAATAAGATATTTTGCCTTTAATGTTATGTGGACTGCATTTAGCTTGTCATGAGAGTTCTTTTGTAGGTTCTCCACCAACTTTCTGCATTGTTTCAATGATGTATGAAGACTTGATATTGCATCTTCTCATAATGTTCTTCAGACATGCTCTTACCACTGGCAACAGCAGTCTCTGCAACGTCCTTTCATGCTTTATTGTTCCTTGTAATGTCTGTATACACATTTAATGAGAGGTCTTGTATGCCAGGGTGCTATAGTTTGTCTTTATAATGTAGTATCAGCGAGTAACAACATAGCAGCAAAGGTGGGACTTGAATCCACAATCCCCAGCTCCGAAGGTTGATGCCTTATCCATTATCACACCAGGCCACATGTGCTTCAAATCTTCTGAAATTGATCTACATTACATTTCTGCTTCATATTCTTATATTTTTATTTTTTGAAGTACATTACAAGAATAATCCAGTAACAGAATTCTAGGATAAGGATCTCATTAGTACGAGGGTTCTGGCAGTTCTGGAGCTTTATCTGCTGCTCTGCAGGTCAGGAGAACATGGGTTCCCGTGATTTGGGTCTCCAGAGACAGATCACAGCGATGATGGTGGTAAAGCCTGGCTTCGTTCTCTCTCAGACACTGGCACTAATTAGATCCTAGTTCCTGTGGTAGCTGAACACAAAGTCATATGAGCTGTATGCAGCAGTGACCTTGATGTTCCATAATATTTTATGGTTGGTTTTATAGCATACTCTAAGACAGAGGAAGCTGTCTGAAACAGGAATAACCACTGTGCATGTTGTTAGTTTATTCTGTTTCTTATAAACCAGGAAAGTAGGGTCAGATGCCTTTCAAGCCACAACACTGCTGAGTTTGATGTGTGTCAAAATAGGTCATTAAGTGTATAGAGTAAGTGTTAAAGTGGTAGAACAAAGGAGCGACCCAGGAGGGACTTGAACCCACAATCCCCAGCTCCGGAGGCTGATGCCTTATCCATTAGGCCACTGGGCCACAATTGACACTACTCACCAAACCATATTGGATGCTATCTTCTAATATACCACGTATTTAAATATCACTCATTGGAGAGTCTTCAGCCTTCTGAATGTACATGGCTGCAGTGGACAGTATTTGGCCCGTCATGAGAGAAACAACTCCGCCATGTTGTTCATTGTTGCACTGTTTCAAGCTCATTAGACTTGATATTGGTTAGTTTTTTAACTGGGTCATGTTCATGTACAGAACTAGAGCTAAAAATACTGTCTAAAATATTATCACAGCCCTGAAACTCTCAATAAAAACATGTACCAAATCAAATCACAGTTCAGATCAGCATGCTTTCTTATCCGTCTTATTTCTTTGTTTACTGTATAGACGGTGTTAATGAAGAAGAACTTTTACAGGATTTAAGTTATGACCTGGAATCTGTTTAGAACATTTTGTTAATCAAGTGTTTGAATAGAGCACTTTTAGTTTTAATTGTAATTTTCTGCTTTTTCTCCTGTTTTTCCCATTCTTTGACCCAAATACTTCAGTTACGTGAGGTATTACAAAACAATTGTGTCTGTAATGGAAGTTATAGGTCTGCGATTATATGACAGACGAGGCACCAGTGGGACTTGAACATAGTTACTGGACTCAAGTATAGAGGGCATGTTGTGAAGTGTTCCAATATTTTTGAATAAGGGTTTGTTTGTTTTCTGCTCTATTGTGACTGTTTCAGAGTAGGATTAATGGATTAACAATACATATTCTCTGAGCCAATTTATCTAAAGGACGGCTAGCTGCTTTTGTATTGTTTGTCCCAAAAACACCACCTGGTTTTGCTTTCAGCTGGAATAGCTCTGTGAGAACAAGCACCACAGGAGGGATTCAATCCCCAGCTCCAAACATCTCATCCATTAGGCCAGTAGGCCACATGCAATCTTTTTTTCAGCACAGTTCACAGTTAGTGTCTATTAGGACTTCTTTGTAACTTGACCCCACCGCATTGCTGCACTGATGTGTTATGGGATGTTTATTTTATCGCTGCATGTTGTTTGCTGCTGTTCTCAACCTGGTCCAACACACATAACAAATTCTATGTGGCCCATTTTACTGTACTTGTAATAGAAGGAGTGTATTGGCTTCAGGTAATGTACTGGAGCCTCTTATTCTTTGGTTGGTCTATAGTAATGTCTTTGTCATCCAAATCCAAAGCCTCCCAAGTGAGACTTGAACCCCATGCTCCCAGTTCTGGAAACTAACGCCTCATCCTTTAGGTTACTGCGTCACATGTGGACAATTCTGCATTGAACTTCTGGAATTGAATTATGTTCTTCTCATGTTTATATTCTTGCAAATAATTGACCTGAGTTACACCGAATCGACCTCCAGAAGGTTCCGACCACTCACTAGAGGGAGTACAGTGGTCACCGATCCTGTTCCTGGAGAGCTACCTTCCTTCAGGTTTCATCTCCAACCAAAATCTTACAACTGTTTTAGTTGATCAAGAACCTCTTAAGGCTATGATGAGATGGTCAGGTAGGCGCGATTATGGTTGGAGCTAAAGTCTTCAGGAAGCTAGATCTCCAGGAACAAGGTTGGTGACCACTCCTCTAGTGTCACTAGGTGAATTATTTGATTTGTATGAGGGTTCTGGCAGGTCTGGAGCTTTTTCTGCTCTTCTGCAGGTCAGAAGAACACGGGTTCCATTAAAAGGACCTCCAGAGACAGATCAGAGTGATGACACTCAGACACTGGCATTAATTAGATTCCAGTTCCTGCAGTAGATGAACACAAGGACACAGAGATGGTTTGCCACTGCAGACATGAGAAAAGTGGACGCACAATACTGTAGGCTATGAAGATGCAGAACTCTTGCAATGCTACATATCACCAGCTTGGATTGTGTAGCTCTTTGGCTCATTACAGCCCATCAAATATGTTTTATAAGGTAAAATGATGTGTGCCGGATACTGTGTCTGAGTCCCGAACACTAATAGGAAGTCTGTTCCATAACTGTGGGGCTCTATAAGCGAAGGCTCTTCCCCCTGCTGTAGCCTTCACTATTCAAGGTACCATAAAATAGCCTGCATCTTTTGATCTAAGTAGGCGTGGAGGATCATAGAAAATTAAAAGGTCGCTTAGATATTGTGGCGCGAGACCGTTTAGTGCTTTATGGGTTAATAATAGAATTGTATAATCAATGAGAGATATCACTGGGAGCCAATGCAATGTGGATAAGATCGGGGTGTTGTGGTCGTATCTTCTAATTATAGTTAGGAACTGCATTCTGGACTAACTGGAGTTTGTTTATACTCCTACTGGAACATCCAGACAGTAAGGCATTACATTTCTTATTTTAGAAATATTTCTGAAAAGTCCGCATGAGCATCAACTGATAGGCTGGAGTCAATGAAAACTCCACCCACAAAGATATCATGGCAAACCAACCTATCCTCATTCATCCCACATAGTGATTCAAGTGATCGTAGTCCTAAACAACTCGGATGTATGACCGACCCAGGTGGGACTTGAACCCACAATCGCCAGCTCCGGAGTCTCGTGCCTTTTCCATTAGGCCACTCGGCC